CCATTGACCTCGCATCCCTACAAGCCGGGACGGAGCACGCTGGCCTTATAGGGGTGCGAGGTGGTGCAGTGGGGGGGGTGTTAGTTCTTGAGGGGTTAGTTCTTCCGTGTGCATAGCTACTCGACTATGCTAGTATTCCCGCGGGTTCCTTCCGCGTGACACCACCGCAAGAAGAGCTTTGGGTTGTGCTTTACCCCTATCGCCCGCTGCCACCCGCTAAACAGCGTCGTGATGGCGCTTACCACTGCTGTCGGGAATCGAGCCGTGTGTCCGGTGCTCTGCGATGCTTCCTCCCACGCCCCACCACCACCTGCCCATCCGTGTTTCGATGTTGTTCTGTCCGTCTCATACTAGCAGTGCTCGGAACCCATTGGCCACTGGGACGAGCGGGAGCGAACGAAAGAACAGCAACCTGCCCATCGATTCGCTCCTGCGGCTGCTGCTGCTGCGATTGCCGACCCTACCGTTGCACCGTTGCTGTCTCCGCGGAGCCCGGAGAGCGGGGGCGACCGCACCTCCGCCGTACCGACCCCGGGCAGCCGGCGCTCGCGCAACTCGATGCAGCGTCAGACTTTCTCCGTGTCCTCCTATTCGTCCTCTCTGGAAGAATGGGGTGGTGGTAATCGCCGCAGCCCCCCGCGCCACCCTTCCCCCCCGTTCGAGAGCGCTTTCCCCTCCCCGCCTCTTTCTCCGTTCGTCCACCGCCGCCGCCGCCGGCATCCGATGGCCGATCGCCGGCTGACCTACGATCAACAGCCAAACTGCCATCATCCGCAATACGCGCTTTCCGCGGCAGCGGCGGCGTACGCAGATCCCACCGGTGATGTCGCTTCTCCAGTCGTCGCCGCTGCCGCCGCCGCCGCTCACCGCGGCGGAACGCCTCCTTCCATCCACGGGTACGGCTACCGCAGCCCGTTTCTAGGCGTGAGCGACGACGACGACGGGAGCACCAGCTACGATGGTGCTCGCGGGCGGCGGTGTTCGAGCTCCGCCCGTGCGTCCGGGGCGGCGGCGGCGGTGGCGGCGGCGGCGGCGAAGGAGGCCGTGGGCGGGTGGACCAGGCCGGTGCTCGAGGGTGGCAGCGCGCGACTAGCGGAAGGTGAGGCGTATCAACGAGGGGGGGG